CTCATAGATTTCAACATGGATTGTTATATTTGAGAAATGGTTCGATAAATTAGGATTTGATTAATGTTTTTTAGATCGATAATCATTTTCTGTTTTTCTATCACAAAACACAGATACTAACAGATCGAAGATCTCAAACCACAATACAAGTGCAGAAACATAAAAATAACAACTGAACAACAGAATTTTCAACCCGTAGGGTCCGGATGTTCGTCACAAAGACCTAATCACCCGTTGAGCACCCACAAAGGATATAGCTCTAGATCCACTAAGTATCAACCAAGAATATTACAAATGTTCAAAGAAAACCTTTGGTTTCTTCGTATTAATCTCGCCTCAACAATATAAACACTGCAATCACCAAATACCAACCCTTAATCTATATAATATTATACAAACTTCACAAAGAATGGATTGACAAAACACACAGCACGATTACAGTGACAAAACCAGAGTAAACCCTAATCTACACTCAGAGAAAATGGAGCACAAAGAGAGACGAAGAGATAATAGAATAATCTCGAATGCCAGAACACCAAGGGCCAAATCTATCAAGTAATATGAACAGTTATAATCCAAGGGCAATGATTCAACCACGTGAAGGGGTGATAATAACCATCAAATGAGGCCAACAACTCGGAAATACTTAAGTCCACAGAACCAGCAACCAAAAAGGCCCAGCCCAATAGTATAGTGAGGCAGCCCAATATAACAACCCATTATAAGCATAGAAGACATCCCATACTCTTGGTGATCTACCGTGCTACTCTCACCAGTTAGGCCAGAAAATGAAAGTAAAGGTGTAGGTAACGCTTTTCTTGGCAAGTAAGTATTTAGACCAGTTTTACAGATTGTAACAGGTCAACAGATGCCAAATTGCTGAATGCCATCTACTTTACTTTAGTTTATGAGGATAGGAGTCTTGGAACCAAAAAAAAAAAGAAATTGATCCTGAAGTACCTTTTTAAAAATAATTACCAAGTGACAAACATCTAGTCCAGTTCCTAACGTGGCAAAGAAAAATTGTTATCAACGTCTAATCCACGTTCTCAGTGTGTCTTAATGAAAAGTTATGACTTGAAGAATCAATGTTAATAAGCAAACTTTTGCAATGCCAAGAGATTTATGTGCTTGTGAACCAATGTATTTTGAAAACATTCCAGCATATTGCCCATAAAGAGGAAGATAGGCCAGTTACGAAGTTCATATTAAAGAAGCAAAAAAATCAAGATGAAGTGCTATATCCATATTAAATAACAATTTCGCTAGCAACATGATAAGCAAGGGACCAGGACATAAATTTCCTATATTATTCACAACTAAATTAGATTTCTTCATTCTACAGTGGACTATGACTGGCACTAGGGGTGGACGCAGACAATTAAAGTTAGGGGGCACAATCGAACTTACAAAAAAGTTGGGAGAAATTTTACAATCGAAAATTTACATCCAAAAGAATCATACCCCCATGTAATTTTGCATTCGAAAATTTGCATGGAATATGACTTTTTCTGATGTAAAATTTCGAATTTTTTGGATGTCATAACCCATATAAATTTCCTAATAAAATAATGCAAATTACATTGAAAAAGTTGTATTACAAAAATAATAAATGTTAATGAAATAATTAATTTTTTTTAAAAAAAAGCGAGTTAGACACCTCTTTTTAAGACGTACATTTGACGCATCTTTAACTATTTTCGATATCTGTTTGAACTATTCGATATGCCTATAATGTAGTTCTCGAAATGAGTCTTGAGATGATATAAGCGATTTGTAGATTCGACTACCGTATGATCGTCGGAGAATTTTTAAAGTTAGCATATTATCGAAATTCTCGAAATACTAATTTTAAACAACTCACTTTGACAAGTCGTAACATTAGTTATAATTGGTCATTTCGTACGCCGTTAAAGATATAAAAAAAAAAATTCTGTGAAATTGACAAGTCATAACATTTGCTACGATTGGTCGTTTCGTACACCGTTAACAACATAAAAACTAGACGGTGAGCACTTCGAAATGATATTAAGAATGCAATATTTTGATTTTGTTTCACATCTTATAATGATTTCGAAAATTGGAAAAAAAAAAAAAAGCAAAGTTGGGGGGCACGTGCCCCCCAGGTCCACTCCTTAGTCCGCCACTGACTGGCACAGAGTAAAATTCTAATTATGCTCTCACCAGGAAACAAATTCAATATTAATTTATGAAAAAAGGAAAAGGAGAAAATTATTCTCAACAAAAAATAATTTAGTAACATAATTCAAGAGGAGGTGAACATAATTATAAGAACAAGGTGGCTTTTATAGAAAATATTAGAATTTTCGTGTTCAAAGAGAGAGAATCAAAAATCAGAAGTGAAGATGTGAGAAAAGATAGAAAAATAACAAATTGTGCCATATTGTAATAGAACAAGTTACTGGGGAAACCTTGATGGCATATGCACACTAAGTATTGATTTGAGAACCGTGGATAGAGCCAATCTCAAACAAGCCATCAGTTCCACCATTCTCAAAAAACTGTTGTGTGAGTCATCAAGAAATTTGCCAAACAGTTCTTCAGTCTTTAAAACCCAAGTCAATATCTGAGATATTTAAATCCTTATAGAGATGTCATACTCATCAAAGGGTTCAAGATGTTTTGTTCTGGAGGAACCTGATTGCATAATTATCAAACAAAACATCACATTTGAAGTTAGAACTCATTTGAGTATAATGTTATAAGGAAATAACACAAAAAAATAAAAAATAAATAAATAAAAAATCAAAAACTGCAAATTCAATGAACCCGACAGCAAATCAACATGCACAATCATATTGATAAGTGTGTTTTACACACTTATTTAGGTCACAAAACATTGATAATTGTTGATAACTATATCGGAATATGGCTTAATTTTATATAAATTGTGTTTTGTAGGATAATATTGATGAACATGATGGAATTTAGGAAAAAGAAGCAGAAAATAACTAAAATGGAAGGAAACCAATGTTCAGGACCAAAGTGCAAATTGCCGAAAGATGATCCGGAAGAAGAAACAAATATGTGAAAGATTCAAGAACCAATTGAGTGAAGGAATGAAGTGTTGGAAGAAGAAGAAACAAGAAAAGAGGTCAAGAAACGAGAAAGCGGAGTTCGGGGACTAAAACACAATATTCGGAATTCAAGCAAAACTACGCGGTCGCATAGTGTAAAAGCTATGCGGTCGCGTGGCTAGCTGCAGGAAATTCAAGGAAGGAGTTAGGCTGAACTATGCGGTCGCATAGTACGTCTATGCGGTCGCATAGCATTGAACTATGCGGTCGCATAGTACGTCTCGAAGGAAAAATCTGATTTCCTTATTTCAATATAACTCTTATCGAAACAAATTTTAGAGCGTGTGTTAAACCCTAGAGCCGTCCAGAAAGCAGTGAAAGCAATTCTAAGAGACTTTTAGAGCGGAGAAGAAGCGAATAACACAAAGATCAAATCCAAGAACACGAGAATAAATTCAAGAATTATATTGAGTGATGTCGATTCTTCAATATTCTTTTTGTTTTCTTCTTCATAACATGCTAGGCTAGGGTTTTTTTTTTATACTAGGAGAACGATGAACCATGTGATATGAATTTTGAATTTTAATCTTATATATTTGACATTGAAACGCGAATTTTGGATATTGAACAATTTATATGATTTTATTTTCTACAATTATTGTGCACGTTAGTTGTGTGAATTATGTGGCCTATTTTATGAATTCAAAAGAAGGAAAATAAGTTCGACATATATTGTCATGAATAATGCTAAGTGTACACATTCTTTTACACAATTTTTTACACCCACCTCACATGGAGGGGGGCCCACACATAATAAAATAATCGTGGACCCCCCCTCCATATGAGAGAGGTGTAA